AAAATTTGTATCTTCAATTTTATTTAGGGTAAATTATAAATTTCATCTCTAAACTTTACTATTTCGCCTATTTTAGTCAATAAACTTTAAAAGTTTTCAATATTCTAATTGAACTTAATACATTAGGTTTTTTTGGTCACTCTGTCATTAATAGTTAACGACGTTAAACTTATGTTTTTTTAAATATCAAAACGACATCATTATGCATATATATAAAAGCCTGTTTATAACGCCGTTAGTGAGAAAATGACTAGGTGACAAAAAACCCTCAATGTATTAAGTTCAGTGAATGAAATAATAGATAGAGTAAAATTCAGTTATCAAATTTGTAATTTATCCTTTTATTTAAGAGATTCAATGATTTTTTATTAAGCTAAGATGATTACAAAGTAGTATATGTTCTAAGTACTCTTAATCATTTGACAATGAACGCTCAATCACCCTGATGCAGCCTCTGGTGCTCGAACCCGTGACCTCTAGGAACAATAACATTTCCTTCAACCACCGAGGTAAGTTGGTTCGTACGATGATTCATTTTAATATACCAATTGAAGGTAGATGATAATATGTTGAATATATGGGTATGTATAGCTATTTTAGTTCGAATTAATAAATCTTGAAACCTGTATCGGCAGAATATTACATAACTTATTCATGTAAATATACTTTTCAAAGAATTTTGTCTAACAACTTCTGTTATTTATACCTTGAAGAAGTGCAACTTCATTTGAATATAGGAAATGTCAGTTACAAGCACATGGAGGAATCAAAAAGTGTCCAAGATATTTCCAAGAATAATAATTAAAAAACAAAATTAATTAATCTTAACCCTTTATATACTAAGATAGATAGAAAGGACCGAAAGCATTAAATCCAAAAGGTTAATAGAAGTTGATCTAAGAACATACCATAAAAAGTTCCTATAAAATGGTAAAGGCATAATGATATAACTACCCTTAAATATTTATACACATGGTGATTTTATTTTTTTTATTTTTTTTTGGATCATATTATTTCTTAGCATTTCAATTTTTAATCAAAATAGACTGGATGAAAACCGCTAGCTGACTAACGATTAACACATATTACTGATATGTTTTCACATATGATCTATTAATGTCGTGGCACATGGAACGTTAACCAAAACGATTACATGACATGTGTCATGTCATCCAAAGTGATTATATGATATGTGTCATGTCACATAAAATGATGATGTGATATATGTTACGTCATCCAAAATGATAATGTAACACATGTTATGTCAAAAATTAAACACATGTGAAAATTTCACGTCAACAATATATGTTGAAAATTAATTAAATAACGATTTTTATCTAACATAATTTGTTTTGATTAAAATTTAAAACATTAAAAGATAAAATGATAAAAAAAAATTGAAGACGAAATTACTATTTATACAATCATTAGGAATAATTGTGTTATTATGTAAATTGTAAAAGAACACTAAGAAAATATTAGCATAAACCCAAGTCTAGATGTTTGTATTTCAACAAAAATACATGAGAAAAACAACAAACACAATACTTTTCAACGCACAAAACTTCTACTCCATATGGATATAAGTTCAAAAAGAAAAGTAAATATACATTTTGGAATTGAGTTCAATTCAAATCGAAACTCGTCATATATGAATAAAATCAACATCTCTACTTATATCCACGTGGATGGATTGAAAGAGGAGGATAAGGACGGTTGCTTCCTCTTAAAAATTTAAATTTATAGTATATCTTAATATTTTTTTATGTATTTTGAATGAAAATTTATTTTTATCCTTTGAATAGAATTTTTAAAATTTACTCTTAGGGGTTGTTTGTTTATTTCAGAATGATTAAGCGCTGAATGATTTAAATGTTGAATAATTCAGAGGCTCTGTATGAATTAACTCTGAATGTGACATGTTGTTTGATAATGGCTCTGAATCATTCAGAATGTACTTCTGTGCTGAATCATTCAGAATGTACTTCTGTGCTGAATCATTCAGAATGTACTTCTGTGCTGAATCATTCAGCACTGTTTTGTTGAATCAGACATCACTGAATCATTCAAAAGTACGAAACAAACGCGCTGAATGTTGAACGGTTCAACATTTAACGCTGAATATTTTCATTAAGAGATAAACAAACAACCCATTAATATAGAATTTTACGTATGTTCTTACATACATGTCCTAATACTTGGATTGCTTGAACCACCTGGAACTTTTCCGAACGTGGTTCCACATTTTTTACACCATCGCTATATTTTGACTCTGCAACATTTGAAAAAAAAATGAGAAAACAAATATTTCAATTCAAACTTAATCGGTAAATTTTTTTTCTTTGAGGTGTTGAAAAACATTATTAGCTCTTGTAAGGCTCTATCAGAATTATTTTCAGATATAATGAATGCTATTGTACTTGTTGGAGGTCGTCGGATATACGATACGTCGTCGAAAAGGCAGGACGGCTACAATATGTCTCTTGTTTTTTCATTTGGAAAGTCTTCACGATAGTTCTGCGGTGCTGCGCCTTAGTATACGATTAAAATAATATGTTACATGTTTTGTTATTATTTTAAATAATAAAATCGATAAAAAATGATCAAAAATATCATTATTTTGATCGATTCTAATTACCTATATAGGTAAGCGTGGTAAACCTAAAACATCATTTTTGACCGAATTTTTTTACCGTATTTATCAATATAGATAATTATAACCGGTCAAAATAATGATTTTTCGATTATTTTTTATCGATTTTATTATTTAAAATAATAATAAAACCGATAACATCTTATAACTATATACTAAGATGCCGCACGTGAAGATTTCCGTCCCACAGGGTAAACAATGAGAAAGACATAATATATTTTTGACGTCTTCTCCAACATTATAATATTTATCTTATATAAAAAATAATTTCGACGAGATCAGATAAAAATCGGTAATTTTTTTCAATGTATTATAAAAAAAATTGCCAACCCAATCAGTGAGCCTTCTTTCCTCAACAGTATAAATATTAATGGAACAATTACTGCACATTCATTGCCGATGAGTGTTTTGCACGCTCACGTGGCGTACTAGTGAGTGCTCTGCACTGTGTAGCCATGAGCCAATGACTTTAATATTTTGTAGTATTTCTAAATCTCTCACACATCACATCAATATATAATATAATTACCCCAACACTTTCGGTACACTGAAAGGTTATTTTCGGTACACTGAAAGCAATTCCTCATACAATATAATATCTCAATGTATTTTATTTAAATAGAGTGATTTCTATATTGCATATTAAAAGTTATGAAGATCACTTAAAGTATTATGAAAATGTACGAAAGATTAGATTTTTTTTGTTAGTTTTTTTTCCCGTCCATATCCATGCACACCCATACCTTTCTCATGCAAAAGAGAAAACGTCAAATATTTCATGTATTTTTACAAGGATATCAAATGTTCTGTCTTTCTAGTATGCATTGAATAAAACAATCTATTTAAAATAATAAATTGTACGAATCAAGTGACATTCGTAATTAAGGAATTTTTACTCACTAAATTCTGCCTCTCATTTTAAATTAGTCCTTAAGCTTTTGAACATTCTAATTTCATCCCTAAATTATGACCCTCTTTTTAAATTGGTCTTCAAACTTTTTAAACATTCAAATTTTATCCCAAGCTATACGTATATACTAATCACATCTCTTGTTAAAAAAATTATTATGTTAAACTATAGTCAAGTTATATTATTATATGTTTGAAATAAAACAAAATTTAGGTTAAACTATGGTCGAAATTAATTATATATTTGGATGAATTTGGGATGAAATTATAAGATTCAAAAGTTTGGGGACTAATTTAAAAAGAGGGCTATAGTTCAGGGATGGAATTAGAATGGTAAGGACTAATTTGAAATGAGAGACAAAGTTTGGGATGAAATTAGAATATTTAAAAATTTAAAGTCTGATTTAAAATGAGAATTATTGTTTAGAGACGTGATGCAATTAACTCTAATTCTAATGGTACGTATGCATAATAACAAAATTACCCCAAATGTTTGCACAAATGATCACTTTATCCCTTATCTTTTTTTTTTGGAATATTCTATATCCTAACATATTATTTTGGAGCAAAATACCCCCTGGGTGGATAGAAACCATTTGTTGAATGACGATCAATGCTTCCTATAGACGTAACAGGTCCATGTGTGATGTCACGTCATCAAAAAATATTTTTAAATATTTTTAAGTATATTGTTATGAGTGTATATATAAATAATTATAATTATAGTTTATTCTAAAAATATTTTTTCAGAAGTGACATCACCCATAGACTTATCATGTTCGTATGAAGCATTAACAGTTAATCAACTAATAATTTTCATCTAACTAAAAAATATTTTATTTTAAAATAAAATGTCAGAGGCTAAAATAGTTTAAAAACGATAGAAGATAAAGGACTATTTGTACATATATTGGAGGTTATTTTATTATTATGCCTTCTATTAAGGTGAATAAAGGGTGAAGATTCGAAGTTACTAGGCTCTGTTTTGTATTTAAGTTACTAAGATGTTGCCACGTGAATCACATGGGGTCGAAGCAAAGGACGGCAGGTCCTTGGACAAGTCAAACGGAACCAATTGAGAATATGATTCTCGAGAGTCGTGAAGTGTTGTCTTGCTTGTTGGGTTAGCTAAATTAACATGCAATGTTTTTAATTGAAGTGAAAAGTTGGCCGAACTGAATTTTCAACACATTCATTCTCCTTTTACTTTCTTAAAACGTAAAATAAACAATCCTTTATGTTATAAATATATTTCTCGATATTTAAATCCATAAAGAGGAAATAAGTAGGAAAAATATTCAACATTTATTTGTAAGGAAAAAAATTACAAATCACTTTCAACACGTGAAATTAATGATACATAAAATAAGTATTTAAAGTGTGTGTAAAGACGGTGAGAAAAATGATGCTATTTATTACTAGCTTTATATCAGGAAGATTGGTATTGGTTAGCTTGTTACAATTGACTCTTCCAAATGCCTTCAACGTTAGCCTTATTCTTTGTCCTCTTGGGAACTCTCTGCTCCTTTATCTACTTCTTCCGGACACCAACCAACAACAAAAATGGCCGAAAACTACCACCGGGACCACCCCAACTTCCGATAATCGGTAACCTCCATATCCTAGGAAACCTTCCACACCAAAGTCTTCACCGTCTGGCCAAAAAATATGGACCCATAATGTCCATTAAACTAGGCTATGTGCCTACAATTGTGGTATCGTCAGCCGAAGCAGCTGAATTATTCCTCAAGGTCCATGACGTCGTTTTTGCTAGCAGGCCGAAAGTCCAATCCGCCGATTACTTGACATGCGGTGCGAAGGGATTGGCTTTTACCGAGTACGGTTCCTATTGGCGAACGGTACGAAAATGGTGTATATTGCATCTACTTAGTGCTTCGAAAGTCGAATGTTTCACTCTCGTCAGGAAGGAGGAGACGGTGTTGTTAGTCGAATCGGTGAGGAAGACAGCGCCGGAGGCTAAAACATTGAACATTAGTCAGCAGGTAGGTAAGGTTGTCGAAGCGATAATGTCTAGAGTCATTTTTGGACGGCGTATGGATGACGAAATCGAATTTAAGCCACTAATTGAAGAGACCATGTACTTGGCTGGGGTTTTCAACCTGTCGGATTACGTTCCTCTTCTTGCTCCACTTGATCTTCAGGGACTAAAAAGAAGGCTTAAGAGGACGAGCAATGGCCTTCACGCAATTTTCGATAAACTAATCGATGAACATGAACAAGGATCGACAAACACCGAGGAGCGAAATTCTTATACAGATTTTTTTCATGTGATGGTTTCGTTGTTGAACACTCCGATGAACCCTACCGACAAGGAGCAATACATCATCGGTAGAGAAAACATCAGGGCTATACTGGTGGACATGGTGGCAGCTTCATTCGACACGACAACTACAGCCATCGAGTGGACGCTTTCGGAACTTCTAAGGCATCCTCGAGTGATGACTTGTCTCCAGCAAGAGTTGGAAACCGTCATCGGAAGGAATCGAATGGTCGAAGAGGCGGATCTACCGAAACTTACTTACTTGGATATGGTCGTCAAAGAGAGTTTGAGGTTGCATCCGGTGGCTCCCTTATTAATTCCACACGAATCGACGGAAGATATCACCGTTACTGGATATTTCATACCGAAGAAGTCGCGAATCGTGGTGAATACTTGGTCGATTGGGCGAGACCCCAAAGTGTGGTCGGACAATGCAGAAGAGTTCTTTCCAGAGAGATTTGAGGATAGCAGCATAGACCTTAGAGGACATGATTTCCAACTCATCCCTTTCGGAGCTGGCCGAAGAGGATGCCCTGGAATGCAATTAGGACTAACAACCATGCGTTTAATTATAGCTCAGTTAGTCCATTGCTTCGATTGGGAGTTGCCCAATGCTATGTTGCCTAATGAGCTCGACATGACCGAGAAGTTTGGTCTCTCAGTGCCGAGGGCTGAGCATTTGTTTGCGAAGCCAACCTATCGTTTAGTTGGTTAAAATGGCGCAACGTCTGTTTTTGCACTAAATAAATAAATAAAAGGGTAGTCTTAGGGTAAGCTCTTAAGTATAAGGTTATATTTAGGGTTGGCATGGCCAAAATACAAAGTCATCACCATGTTGGCAATGATTGTTTATGTCTAAATCCTGTTAAGGATATTCATGTTATTTCCTCTTGTGTAAGTTAAAATTTCGTGTTTACTTTTCGAATATAATATTTACTCAATGAAAAATTATTGTTATCATTATAACTTTTATTCTACTTTTAGAAGACATACTTAAATGTTTAATAGTAAGAGAATTATATATTTTATTTTAGAAGGTAATTATCGGAAGTAATTCAATAAATAATACTATCTATCAAATCGCATATGTTTATGAGATTTTGTGGTGTTAAAAATAAATTTATAGCATTTTTCTAAATCATTTTTAAATAAAATATAATATAATAGTAGATTTTGACACTCGATTTATAGTTTTTTTTAAATGTTGAATAACTAATAAAATTTTCCTTTATTTATAGAATAAAATAAAAGCTTAAAAATATTTAAAATATTACGTCAGTTTATTGAAAATTTTCAATTCTTATCGATTAATAAACTTAGAAGAATATCAAACTCTGATTTACTTCAACGTAATTTTTATTGTTTTATTTTTTGAAAATATTATAAAAATAGAGAAAAAGAAAATTACCTAAAACGGACAAAGTGAGACAAGTCTCCACAAAATTCGTCCCACTTATATTCCTATAATTAAGGTGTTTTTATCCAAAAATCACCCAAACAGTTAATAATTATTTGTTAGATACCCATTGACTAAATTTTATCGATATAACACTCATTTGTTGATATGGATTGAAGGCCCGAATGGTTTTTGTCTGAGCTGACGCCTTCCATAAATACCTCAATCGTCCGTCGCTCCCCTTAATTACCTCTTACTCCTCCTATATATACCACCTCATATAACTCTCAAACCACACAAAAAAATTACTTTAATCATTCATTTTAACAAGTTTCAAGTGGTTCTGTTATTGGTTTTAGAAGGTTAAATTATTTTTATTATATTATAATAATTAAATAGTGTATTATTTTATTTATTTGATTGTGCTATTTTTTTTATATTTTACAGTTATAAAATGGAAGGCGGGTTGCTGCGTTTAGATAGAAATCATATCTCGAGCTATTTTGCAGATAAGGTAATAATTTGAAATTGTGTTATGTTAATAATTTTGAAAGTTTTATTTATTTATTTATTTTTTAGTATTAGTTTATATTTTAATTTGTATATCATTTATTTAATTAGGGGAATAACCATATATTAGATCCATTTATTCGTAACACTAAGTTAGAGATACCGAATCGTGTCTGTCCGTATTTAGGCGAGACTGAATTCAGTTACATAGCTAGATATGAAGGGCATGGTAACCTTGGATCTAACCTTATTTCTGCACTGGTCGAGAGGTGGAGACCAGAGACACACACATTCCATCTACCGTGTGGGGAGTGCACTATTACGTTGGAGGATGTTTCTTTATATTTGGGGCTTTCGGTAGATGGGGATGTCACTTCTGGTGTGACGGATGGTGATTGACATTCCTTGTGCGAGGAGTATCTTGGAGGTATCCCGCCTAATTTCAACGGCGGTCGAATATCGTTATCATTGTTGGCTACAAATTTTCGACAGTTGAGCGACGACTGTTCCGAGGAAAAGGCTAAAATATTTGCTCGGGCTTGCATATTACGACTCATATGACAGATCTTGATGCCCGATAAATCTCGCAACTAAATTTATTGTATGTGGTTGCGTTGTCGATTTTTGAGTTGTCGGGTCATTTAGTTGGGGCTCCGCAGTTTTGGCATCTCTGTATAGAGAAATGTGTCGAACAACTGATTATTGAAAAATGCTATCGGCGGATGTCTCATGCTTCCGCAGTCATGGGTGTAGTATCGTATACCCCTTTTTATGTTTGGTGGTAAAGAACCCATTAGTTTTCCCATTATTAGTGAGGTAATTTCAATACTGAGTTCGTATATAAATATTTTTTAAGTGTATAATAAATATTTTTTACACTGAATATGTGGTCATGTGTAAGGAAAGATCATCATGAAATGCCAGACGAATTAGAAGAAATTTGACTACTCATTGATCAAAAAGCTGGTACACGGGTATGTATTTAAATTTTGTTATTTACATTAAATTATTGTTATATAATTAAAATATTATTTTGAAAAGAATTATATATATTTGTTGTAGTTTCAATAAAGTCCTTATGCTACTACATGTATGGATGACTGTGGTCCCTCTGATATGTTATGCTATTGTCAAGTGGCATCTGACTGATCGCGTGCTCCGGTAATTTGGTTTCATACAATCTATTCTAGAAGCACCTATGGATCTCAATAATTTGTATAACATCGATAGACATGAAAAAAGTCAACTGGTTGATGAAACACATCGATTGGGTGATGATGTGGGCGCATTCCCCGTAGGGAGGCGATTTATGTAGATCAATATTCAGTTGCGTAGACTACTACTAGTGGTTCAACACGAACGGAAAGTCATTCTTTCTTTCCAAGGAAGCACGAGCTTGAAGCATTCATTACTGTCGAGAAAGGTATCCACCGCCACATCCGCATCGTCCCTTGACTAGTGGACGGAGAGCAGGCGCTTCCGATTCGTCTTTAGCTGCAAAATCAAAACCATCACAACAACCACCGTCTACACTAGGTTACATTCTGCAGGCCTTCCATATGGGGATACAATCATTTTAGATAGCTCCACAACTATTTCAGACACCACCGCCTCCATTTCATATGCCACCACAGCTGGTTTCGATGCCATCACCACAGGGTTTTATGACCCCTCCATGCGGATATTATAGTTCTATGCTTGTAGATCCAGCGTGGACTTCATATGCATCATATTTGGCGGGTGATGTGCCACCAAAGACTCTGACACCTCTGACCCTATTTTCGTATTCATTGATGTCTATGTTTTCACAGTTTTTATAGTTTTTTATGAGCGATGTGATGATTAGTTATACACCTCCAGAGTCCCTATTATATGGAGGTAGTACTTCATCATCCGTCTCTGATCAACAAAATGTACTTGCTACTGTTGCTGCTGATGATGAGAATGATAATAATGAGGTGGAAGAACAACTTATATGAAGAAACCCTCATCGAAATAATCAGTCACCACCATATGAAACACATTCGAGACGCAAACATCGATAGACTTGTTTATTTTGTAAAATTTTTGTTGAATTAATATTTTTTTTATATAACATTAAATTGCAAAATTGTTTTTGGACTTAATTGAATTTGTCAAAAATTTATCAAAAATAATTAAAAGTCCAAATTAACTTGAAATATATCTTTTAAAAATGATCGATCCCTTGGACAACAGTGAGTTTGGGATCAATACCTTCACCAAAAGGATCGATCAATTTTAATGAAAAATCGATCCCTTGTACATTAAATGTTGATTTTTGTTGTAGGTAACGGCTATAATGATCTTTAATGGCTTCAAACAGCTAGAATTAATGGAAAATGTATAAATTGAAGGTCAAAGGTTCCCAAGGTCATCAAGAATCATATTGAACCAATTTACCACCATCAAAGCTTAGTTTTGTGCTTAATTTGTAAATTCTTTGTTGTAAGCACACTTGTGACCTACATTGTTTATTTTGCACAAGTGTAATTTGGGTGAGAGCTTAATTAGTGCAAACTTATTTGCCTTTGTGAGGATTTTCTTTAGTTTGCTAAATTTATAATTACTCGTTGGGAGAGAGTTTATTCAAGGTTTTGGGGTATAAATCATGAAGTGTTTGTGAGCTTAATTTTCACTTAAGTAGCCCATTACTTGAACGTAAACAGAAATGAAATAACAAAAGCTGATATTTTACAAAAAAAACAATTTCATGGGCACAACATCTATTATTACATGATGATAAAAGAGATGGACATTTTTTCCTATTATGGCCTAGGTTTCTAAAATACCCACATTTTATTTTTTGGACATTTCTCGAATATTTATATCACAGTGAATTCGAGTAGATTTTGGACGACCTGTTTCCGTTAATAAGAACGGATCTGGTAAAATTGGACGCCAATTCTGAACCTCGTCTGGGTCTTTCAGATTACCTTTGAGGGGAACTCAAATTTATATACCTTAAATACTTCTGAAAGTCGGTATACGTGATCCATAAAACGATTAAAGTCATGACGAATATAAGAGCAAATTGCTATGACATGGGAGCATGGATACTTTAGAGCTTGAAAAAACCCACAGTCACATCACATGTCTTGTAGATTAACTCTAAACGAGTTAGTTTCAATCCCTTGAAGAGTTCGTGGCATTTATGTGACACAAAATAATTCATGATTTCGAGAGAAGCTAGTTACAAATATTCTATTTGAAGCAATAATTCTTTTTTGTAGATCTGTAACTAATCTTAGGTGATAAACATGACCGTTTTGCATCCAAGTTTGAGCTTGTCCGTCGAGATTGGCAAAAAGTTCTCACAAAGCAAAAATAGGTCATTTTAACCAATGTTGTAACTGGTAAAAGTCGTGCCCCCTTTAAGATCGAATTGATAGCCTTAACCAAGTTGGTCATCATGTGTCCATATCGATATCCACCATCATATGCATTTGTCCACATTTCTTTGTTGATGAGGATGCTATAATTGTATCCTTGCTCATTTTTCCATCATAATTCTTAAAGCATGGACTCAAACGTATGAGGTAGTTGTTCATAACTTGAGCAATTTTTGTAGTACTTACTGTTTAGTTCCCATAAAAAAATGAAATTCTACAGAAATAAAATTAAGAAATATGATATACCCAAGCGCACAAGTAATTGGCATTCATCATTTTTCTTGAACTTTCCATGATAGTTTACGACAATATGTTGGATACAATACCGATGTTGGACATAGGGTGGTTGCCACATTGTACCCAAAGAGTCTATTATTGCTTTGATCTCAGCTCTGCAATTTGAAATGATAGATTTTTTCCCTCGTGACAACATGAAAGCATACGTTTTTAGGAAAAACCCAAGAATATGTATCTTCTCGTTCAACAAGCGCAAAAGCAACTAGAAGAATATTGTGATTGTCATCTTAAACAACTTCCAATAGTAGAACTTGTTTGTATTTTCCATACAAGAATGTCCCATCAATCTAGACC